GCCAAAAGTGCAGAGGAGATGGGGTGGGGGCTGGGAAGCACAGCAGGCAGACCCACTGAATAACACTGCTGAGGGGAGCAGCAGGCAGGACAGGAGAGTGCAGCGCCATGTGGGTCAGCTCCCTGGCCGGGGATCCAGCTCAGGCCATTGATGTGACAGAGCTGAGACCTAACCCCTACCCCATCAAGGAGGTCCACATGTTAGGGATTCTCAGTGGCCCCTCACACCGAGTGTTCCATTCCCCTTATATATGTTACTCCATGACTACTGGAATCTCCACCAACTTCACTCATAACTATTTAGGGACAAATAAGGAAAGGTAGTGAGAGGAGGTAGTTAGAAACTCCTCAGTGGGAACGCTGCCAGTAAGCATTCAGTAAGAAGTTGCTTTGATATCAGCGTGTGATTTGGCTAATACAGCCCAGTGAATCAGGAGTGTATAAACTTCAAGTATAATAGTTGAATAGGTGCTATTCAAAATATTTTAGGAAAAGGCTCCCACAATAATATTTATTATATATAAGGTGTCTGTTAGGTTTCCACATCTGCATGCACAGCTGTGGTGGCACACACAACTGATTCCATGTGCAGTAATAACTAAGACTCGACAGGAAGTTTTCCCATAATTAAATACCAAAATTGCTATTAATGCTAGTAAAAAGGTCATGATTGTCTCTGCTTTTTAGCAGCTCCACTAGACACTTTGAAGCCAAAACAGGTCTCCCTCTAAGACAAGGCAGCTGCAGCATTGTCTTCATCTCAGAGAAGTCCTGAAACTAAAATCCACCTGGCATTTTAATTCCTCTCAGGCAAGTCACACTTTTGTTAGGCTCCTCAATCAAAAAGTAGGTTGCTCCTCTCAATCTCCCGGTTTTATAAAATCTGATGAACTTTACAGCAACTAGTAAATTACTCAAGCAACAAAAAACCGCAGCAATTCCTGGGTATCCAGAATGTATGAAGACACTGGAGAGCGAAACCTCTGCAGGTGGCATGTGTACAAAGCCCTGGGCTGCCTTCCTCCGGTGAGACCAGAGGTTTTCTTCTAGTCTGCGAGGTCTTAACTAACTACCAGGAACTAGATTTAATGTTTCCTGGGTAGTCAGTGGGTGTGACCTGTGATTTGTGGTTCTTCTGTCTTATAAATCATCACCCCCATCCTCTCTCATTCATATGTACTTTTGAGCTCCCTTTAGGTACAGAGCTTTGGTCTAAACTTCAAACATCATTTACAACTTGGGGTTTTTGCAGACATTCCCCATAAGAGAATTCTTAAGTATCCTGTAAGAGCTGTATCCAATTGGAAGTGTTTTCAAAGGCCAACAAGCCTGTAGCATTTGGTAGACTAGGCTGGAGAAGTGAGTGGATACTTTAGATCTTACCACCAGATTTGAGAGAGTTTAAGATTCTGCATTATGCTTAAAACATCAGTTTGCATTAGTTGCTATATCCTATAAGGTGGACGGAGTCCCAGCTCATTCCTTTTGGATATTCTGATAAGATTTACTTGCAGTAGAAGCAACAATATTCCTACATACTGGACCAACTAAGTGATCTTTGGCCATGATCCCTAGGGGATAACTTATGCCAGCAGTCTTGAATGCCTTTAATTTTGTTTTTGAGAATCTCAGGAAAATTAACAAGCTTCTAGTTTTGCCAGTAAAAAACTGAGTAAAAACTCAGTTTTTCATAAGCTGTATGTTCCTGAAAGAAGTGTTGGATTGCTGGCCCTCTCTGGTGGTGCAGTAGATTAAGGCACAGCACTATGAAGCTATCCACGGCCACTGCATACGAGTTTGATCCCCAGCCAAGGAGGTGGTCCACATGGCATGGCAGACCTTTCCTGACTCGCCCGCTGCTCCCCTCAGCAATTATTTTAGTTGTTCTGCCTGTTCAGTGGTTCTGCTCCCTACTCTCTCTGGTGAATCCTCTCACCCCCTGCACCTCTGACCTGTACCCCCAGTTCTTATGCATGAATAAATAAATCTTTAAAAATTAGAAGTGTTGGACTGCAACAGAGCTTGCTGAAGCTGCCTGGAGCTTCGCCCAACCAGTGGCAGTCACTGTTAACCTGATGACTTAGAATTAAATATCCCCTTGGAAATACATCACACCAGTGTGCATGGCATTTAAAATAAATTACAGACTTTGTAATGGGCTCTCAGACTAGTTCCTACTGAATACATATAAGTTACTAAAGAACCATACATTTGAACATATTCTTAGGTACACAAACTGTGTTCTACTCATCATATTTCGTTTCCTTCATGTAAATAACAAAGTTGGACTTGGACAGCTGTGTTGCATCATCTTAAGGTGGAAGTAATGTGAAGCAGTGGCCTTGGGCTCCGATGGAACCAATGCTTGACCTATTCTTCATAGAATTTCAGAAGTTTTACAGTATCTGTGAATATTGTCTCTCTTGTCCCTCTCCACTTCTGCTCCTATTTTACATGTAGCTATGTTTCATTCATGCTCCCTATGAAACATGTTTCAGGACCCACACCATGGGATGGGCCACGGAGTATGTGCAGCCTGAGAGGTGTGGCCTCTCAGCTTCACCACCGACAAATGAGAATAGGAAGCAGGAATTGGGAAGCCCCCAGGACTTCACCTGCTGGACATAAGCCCCTCCCAGCTAGGGCCAGAGAGGGGTCCATGTTGGCTCTATATATGTGTGTGTGTGTGTGTGTGTGTGTGTGTGTGTGTGTGTGTGTGTATTTTAAGATTTTATTTGTTTATGCACACAAGAACTGGGATACAGGCCAGAGGTATGGGGATAGGATCCACCAGAGACAGAGTGGGGAACAAAACAGATTGAAATACACTGTTGAGGGGAGCAGTGGGTGAAATAGGAGAGGTCTGCTGCACCACGTGGGTCACCTCCCTGGCGGCAGACAGCTTCATAATGCTGTGCTTAACCCCTTATGCCACCAGGGAGACCCTTCTTTATCTTTTTGTTTCCCTATCAGAGTCCCTGTTCGCTTTTTTGGCTGCTGGTTTTCAGCTTGGTGAGGACAAAATGCCTCCACTAAATAAAAGGGTTAAAAAAAATTATGAAAGTTAGAATTAGCATGTAGCCTAAGCAAGCCTTTTGCTTTAGCCTGGAGCTAAAGGGGGTGAGACCCTGAACTGGGGTCTCTGGGAAGGTGTATTATAAAATAACTTTTAATTCTCAACTCTGAAGTATGCAGCACTCCCTAGATTACTTCCATTGCCATCTCCATGGGAGGAAGAAGGATGAAGATGGTGTTCCTTGATCAAAGGGTAGAATTTGAAGTTCATGGCAAGAATTAAGAGATGCATACCTTTGTTCCAAGGGGCTCAAAAGCAAGGTGAGTTAAAAGTGAACTTTAGGAAAAGCTTGGAGAGTGAAGCTTTACAATTAGACCTTTGAGTTGGGAAGGTCCAATTGCCCACTGAATGTAGGCATTGCTATGGAAACACTCCTAACAAGTGGCCTCCACCCAAAAAGGGAGAAGATAGAACACAGTGCTTACAAGCAGGCTTGGGTTTCCTTTCTGGATCTACCATTTCATAGATCTACCATTTCATAGCTGTGTGAACTCATTCAGTTAACCTTAATTAAACTGTGTGTCTATTTCCTCAATATAAATGAAATTAATGATAGTATTAAA